TCACATGAACTGGAGGTTATCCATTCTATGGAAGTTTGTTGTTTGATGTTCAGAAATTAATTTTCATGTTCACACATAACAAGTTACTCGAAAACAACTAAAATTTGAGCAATATTTTCATACATGGAGAAGCTACTTTGCGCTTATCAAAAGGATGACCTGTACAAGTACAACCTATGTGGGCTTTCCTAAAACTTCAGAATTTATTTATTTTTTAAATTGTTCACAAAATAAAATTTCCACAATTCTTATGAAATTGTATTGCACGGTCTACATGTCGAGGAGCAACTTTGATATTATTCGCTACACAATTTGTGTAAGTAGCCCCCCAAATAGTTCTAGAGAGGTAGAGTACTTCACAAAACATTGGTCTTTCAATTTTTATCTCACATTCACACTATAAAATTTCTCAAAATTATATTTAACTTTTGGAGATGACTTGGTGCATAGAGGAGCAACTTTGTGCATTTTGGCTATTCCATATATACATGTTGGTCCCAAAAGTGTACATGGGCCCATAATTTTATTTGATTGTTGCCAGTAAAAAAAGAATTTGTTTGGTCATATTCTAACTTCATCTGTTTACTTCTAAGCTCTTAAAGGGAGAACGTTAATTGTAGTACAGGAGGAGCGGTGATGTTGCAGTATCCGTTGTACACAGAATATATTTTTCTCTGTATACGGAGGCATTTACAAGTTACAACTACATGCTGTATGAGAACTAACACAGGCGACAAGCTACAAACTAAACTAGCATGCACCTTGCGGAAGACAGCTTCGGTGACCGGCCGACGCCCTAGACCGGCAGCTCGGTCGTCACCTCGGGCTGGCCGTCGTCCTCCGGGGGCTGGGGCTCAACCTCCGCGCGGCAAAGCGGGCAAGTGTCATGGGACGCCAGCCACATGTCGATGCACTCCACGTGGTACAGGTGCTTGCACAAGGGCAGCAGCCGCACCATCTCGCCGGCCTGCACCGTGCCGAGGCACACCGAGCACTGCGCGCCTTCCCCGCCGCCCTCCTTACCGCTGTGCCTGGCGGAGTGGGTGTACGCGAACTCCGGCAGCTTGGCAAGGTCCACGGTGCGGCGGCGGCCGGTCTCCGCCCCCGCAGCCGCCACCGGCGCCCGGTTGCGGAGCTGGTAGCAGAAGAAGAAGATGACGGAGAAGAGCGCGGCGCCCGTGAGGCCGACGCAGGTGTAGCTGAAGATCATCGTCCCTTTGTTGGTGTGCCGCAGGTGCTCTGAGTTTGGCAACCCCGTCGGCCCGAACGAAGCCATGGAGCTAGGCTAGCTGCTTCTGCTTGGAAGACTTTCGCCGGCTCGTACTTCGAAGGTAGAGGAATGAGAGCCGACGCCGATCACAGCGAGGGCCTGCCTTATCATGCGGCCCGAGATATGGGTAGAGGGTACGGTGGCGACCTGGTGCATTTTCTAGTGTTGCGGGTGGGAGAATTTTACTCACAGCTGTCAGCAATTTTGCATTGACTTGTACTCCGTACTAGATTAGCTTCAGAGTGGCATGCATGAGGAGGAGAGTTTACCGGCACTACGAGTTTAGTAATAGACACTTTGTCAACTCTCTGCACGGTAGTTGTTATAAAGAACAAAGATAATAATACAAACAATACAAGTGGTGCACCTAATCAATGACGATTTTGCACCGAAGATGACATAATGCATTTTTTTAAACATGAGGTAAAAGCTTTGACATTTTTTGTTTTGAATCCCGCTTCGATACAACCCCCTCTCTAAAACGTATAAAGGATAGTATCGACATTTCACATATCGTATCTATTTTTTGTGTGTACGATGGGTTGTCCGCGAGACGTATACGCCGTATGTTTGTTCATTTGGAGAGCCCAACTCTGTGCTAACAGACGCCCTGGGCTCGGCCCACTAATATTTCCTTACTAATATTTTCTTTAACATTCAAAAATAGATGCTGGTAGTGATATTCGAACTCTTTACTTCTCTGTATGAATTCACTGGCAGTAACCAACTGGGACACCTCAAGCTGCTATGCTACATACAACATTTGATTCTTCTTGTTCACGCGGCAGATGTGACACACAAAAAAACAGAACCGCTAGGGATCAAATCAGACCACTTCATCATCATTCGATTTGTAGAAACTTTTTTTGTTGTTGCGGAAATTTGATTTGTAGAAACTGACAGACCATCCCATTGGAAGGCATAGAACGTGCGCCAGCAAAGCTTTTCCCTTACATGATTGATGGAAACTAATAAGTAATAACTGCACATAGATCACGTGAATTGGAAAACAAATCACTGATTTAAGGAAGCAAAATAAATCTTAGAAAACTAATTCAAGATTTTAAAGGAAAATAATCAGTCTAGCGAAATTTGTATCCAATATTACCAAAATTTACTTCCAGTGCAGCTAAAAAACAGCCAAAAAAATTCGTCTCTACTCATTTGCAGCACCAAAACTATGTTAAAATTTTGCCTCCACATCAACTCAAAATTAACATGCTTCATTGGTCCGTATAACATATTTCCAATGACCTAAATATTTGCTTCATTCCCATCTCCAAAACCATAGGCTTCGTATTCTCATATCACATGTATTATGTATTCACCATAATATTAGCTTCAAGTCTGGTATCCATGTGCTTGCTTCCTTATGTTCTTTATTATACAAGCTCGTAGCCATTGCCGGCCGAGGGTGCGTTGTTACCTGACACGGTGAAGTTGTTGACGAGATCGGACCAGGTGATTAAATTATGATTTTAAAATATTTTTTCCTTCAAATATTTATTAAATGTTTTTTCGAAAGTCTTTACAATTTTCAATTTTGTCCCTTATTAGTTATGTTAAAAACTTAAAATAACAGTTTTAAGTACCTACCTAAATTATGATTTTAAATATATTTTCCTTCAAACCTGGCATAGATGGTCGGACGTTATAAAACTTGCATACGGTGTCGGAATTCATTCAAACATGGCATGGACGCCTACCATGGGCATGCCCACCTGCTGACAAAAGTTAGATCACTTCATGCATGTCAATAAATAGACCATATTCAATGGAGAGTGTTCGGGTAGGCGAGAAGAGTCCGTTTGAGACCATTTTTTCGGCATCCATCACATGACCCAAATTTATTCCATGAGCTTATATGGCCAATTTAAGGCACCATCCCAAGTTGTTTGAGTTTTCGAGAAAAAATCATTTTCTGGAGTTTTCTTGGTGAAAAAGGACCGATAAATGGTCGGACGTGTCGCAACATGCAAACGATGTCGGAAGTCGTTCAAACCTGGGATGGATGCCTCATGTGTCTGTACCAGGCTGCTGAAAAAAGTTGGGGTCATTTATCCATAGTCCAAGAACCCACTAGTTGAGAGGAGTATGATAGACTAGGCCAGATGAGTCCCGTGAGCATGTAGTTTTTCCCAATTCGAAAGCTTCTGTTATTTGTAACTGCTGCCATTATCAACCAACATGAACATTTTGTTGTGAACTAACCATGTCTTGAAATTTGTGAACAATTTTGAAATTTCAAATTGTGTATGAAAATTTTACAAGTTTGAACACCTTCTCCAAAATTGATAATAAATTCCCAACGATTGATGAAAATTTTGAACGAGAATAGGAAACAACGTAATTTTCTATAAAATTATCATTTTTTGAAACACAAGCATTTCTTCTATTTGCGAACAAAATATTCGAAAACACGGGCATTTTTTAAGATTCCAGAATATTTTTAAAATTCTAAAAAATTGAAAACAAGAAAATTTTAGGGTTTTCCAAATAATTTTCCAAAATTTTGAACAAGTTTCGAAAAGAATTAAAAAAGTTAGGAAAAAATTCTTAGCCGCTGGCTTAACTAGGGGACGGCATCGATCCCATCCGGCGCCTGTTGGGGGAAACTCTATTGGACGCTTATTATGTCAAACAGTCGTTGTTTCACACACACCCAATCGATACGAGTGAACATGAGCCATCCCATTTCAATCTGTTCGTTGCCTCTGTATATGCCGGTTTTCAGAACCTTTTAGATGGTTTCAGGCCAGTTTTTATCTGTTTCCCGAATGTTTAAAAATGTTCATGAACCATTTTGTTTTTCAGAACCACAAAGTTCAAAAAATGTTCAACATATTTATTTATTTAAAAGTTTGAAAATATCAAAAAAATGGTCGCATTTCAAAGAAGTTTAAAGTTTCAAAATAGTTTGTGTTCTAAAAACTGTCAGAATTTAAAAAAAAGTCTCATTTAAATCGGTTCGGAGTTTATAAATGGGTTCCACTTTTTGGAATTTTTTTGAATTTTAAAACTTTTGTTTACAATTTGGAAAAATGTCGGGGTTTAAAAAAAGTCACGTTCTAATTTCCAAAAAAATGGTCAACTATGTCACTGGTCATAGTTCTTAAAAGGCCTCGCTGCTTTTTGTTAAGATATCTGGCTTATTCTGGTGGTTGTGCTCGTTTGTGTTATTGTGGAGGTCTTATGCTCGATTCCTGCTGGAAGCAATTTTTTTAGGATTTTCCACTCTTTCACTACACAGCAGTTTTACTACAAGTCCACTACACAGCAGTTTTACTACAAGTCCACTACACATATCGTTTGCTGCTGGGCCGGCCCAGTTTCCTGCTCACTGTTGTACGGTCCAGACGATGTATTTCGTAAAAGGACCATCCTATCCTTTCTTACGAAGGGGTATGGGCAGATCTGATCCGTTCATATGTCTAAGGGGGTTATACCGAAGAAGAAGTGTGTTTATTAACTATTAGATGATATCTTGTGCGTTGTTATGAAAACCATCAACAAAAAATTTGATGTTTAAAAACATGAGAAAGTATATGAAATAATATAAGTTGTTGAAAAAAATTGTTTGAAAGAAATATTGTTCAGAGTCAGCATCAAAAGAAATTGATGAAGGGGTATGTGCGTTGTTATGAAAACCATCAACAAATAATTTGATGTTTAAAAACATGAGAAAGTATATGAAATAATATAAGTTGTTGAAAAAAATTGTTTGAAAGAAATATTGTTCAGAGTCAGCATCAAAAGAAAATTTGATGAAAAAGCCGAAAATGAGTGTGATTTTTGTTCTATTAATTTTTAACAATGCATCAGCGAGGCGATATGAGGTTAGGTGAAGCTTAGTTATATCATAAAAAAGCCAGATTAGCTACTTGAGTGTATGCAATTGAACCAAAATGAGATTAAATGGTTGCATGGGAACAGTGGATTCTTAAAAAGAAAAAACTTGATGAGCTACCTCTATATACGCAATGGAATCAAATTGGGCTTGGAATTCTGTTTAGCGCAATTCTGTGGGCTGTGGGGAGCAAAAGAGACATGTATAGGAAGCACAAGAGAATGCTAATGAGAAAATACATTTGTTTGGGGTTTCAGAATGAGATAATCGCATTAACAACGCATGAAGTCTAATCAAATGGTTGGACGAGCACTCGTGTTGAATGTCTGGAGTGGAACAGATGTCGTTAAGACATATATAGATAGCAAAAGAAACCTAGGATGACGTGGTTGCTTGACAGTGCATGAAAAAAATAGTTGATGGTTATTTGTGGTAGACTGCATGTGCATGAAGAGTTAGTGCGATCATGCGCATGAAGAGTTAGTGGCGGGAAATCATTTTTACATGGTGAACCTATCTTATGATGTGGATAGGTTGCATGTCAAAGTAAATAAGATAGTGGGGATGAATTTCTTAAGTATATAGGTTAAGAACAAGATTGTTGCTCAGTTAAGTACGAAGAACGGCTGAAAACCGACCCAGCCAAGGACAATGCCACTCCATCAAAGACTCCACAGGGTCACACACACTCTCAGCACAAGGTCAAAGCACACGCAAAACCCGACACGGCAGGACCATGCCCACTCTTGTTGATGGCACGCCAACCAAGCGCATACAAATCAAGGATGACCCGCTCCAAACTAGTCGAGTCCCACCACTGCTGAAGTAAAGAAGTCATGACTACCATGGAAGAAGTATACATGGCATGCTTCTGCAACATTGAAGATGCATGCACTACATAGGAGTCTACGCCAAATTTGAAGCTCGACACCCACGCAACACAAGATCATCACACTCGAGACTTTCATCTGCTCTGTCACACACTTTTTAGTC